AGTCGCGGTTGACGCTCTGCCAGCCGGGCTCGCCGTACGGCGGGTACGCGCCGTCGCCGCCAGGGAAGTCCGAGGGGCTCCAGTTGCCCGTTGAAAACGACACGCGCGTGCCGTCCGCAATCCAGAACTTTTGCTGCACAGGCGGGTGGTTGGTGGTAGCAATGGGTTGGTGGTGGTTGAATGAAGGAGACGAGGAGGGAGGGCGTGAGGGAGCGAGCGATGACGGTGCTGGTCTGACGCGTGACGGAGGGTGGCATCACACAGAGGCGGAACCATGCATGTGCACATGACACACTCAACGCACAAACACGTACGAATACACACACATCACACACACATGCACAAACACACACGCACAAACACACACATACACACACATACACATCACACACACACACACACATTCCCCTCCCCCACCCCTTATTTGCTACGCACGTGGTTGTACATGTAGAAGCCAAACTGCCAGGCGCGGTGGATGACGAGCCCCTTTGCCTGGAGCTTCTCAAAGCACTCGCTGGCCTTCTGCTGGTCGCCGCTGCCGTAAATCTCGCTGGAGACGAGCATGGTGATGTTGACGCCGCGCTTGTGCGCATCCAGCAGCCAGTCGCACAGCCGGTCGTCCGTCACCTGCGGCAATTTGGGGGGGGGGGGTTGATAAGGGGTGGTGGTGGTGGTGATGGTGAGAGAAGAAGTCAGTCGAGTAGCAGTAGAACAGTGTACATACAACTGACACGCCAGTTCCACAACACAGAGTCACAGTTGCAGAGAGACAGCCACAGACACACAAAGAACACAAAGCACACCTGGTAGATGTAGAGCTTGAAGGAGTGCTTGACGGCCTGGAGATCAGACATGAGCGCCTTGTACGAGAAGTCGGGGGACGTCCACAGCTGCAGCGGGCAGAAGAGGGGGCGGGGTGTTAGGTGTTGGGGCAAGGGAGTGAGCACTGGAGTACAAGGCCAAAACTGGGAGCAGTTGTCAATTCAAGCAGCCAGCAAGTATAGGGACACACACACACACACACACACACACACAGACACACACCACACCACAACACACCACAACACAACACAACACAACACACACACACATACACACAGAGGCACACGTACGCACAGACCTTGAACGGGGCATTGATGGGGATGGGCTTTGGCTTTGGGGAGACGTAGGGGCGGTCTGGGCCAGAGGGGATGTCAAAGTCGCGGTGCGCCGGGTTGGTGATGATGGCCATATCCGAGGCCGAATACGAGTTGGTCACGTTGTACGGGCGCGTCGCTTCCCAGTCCCGCTCATACACCGCCGTCAGGAAATCAATCACAAGCGCCATGTCCTTGCCTGGTGTTGAGGAGGGAGGCGGGCAGGGTGGTGGTGGATGGATGGTGGTTAAACGTGAGGTGAGGTGAGGTGAGGTGAGGTGGGGTGGGGTGAGGTGAGGTGAGGTGAGGGAACAGGCGGGTTGACGGGCATGGAGGAGGGGGTTGTTATTGTTGGTTCGTTTGAGGGCAAAAGAGGGGCAGCAGGAGAGCTAACTAGATAAACTCAAGTACACACACACATACACACAAGCACACACAAGTACACACACACACAACCACAAAAACAAATCCTAGCACGGGTCGTGCTTACCAGTACCTTCGATGTTTGCGCCGGCCTCGCGGTTCTTCATGTAGGAGCTGCGGCTCCAGTTGACGGAGGAGATGGACGCCGCGTTGCCGTCCCGCATCATGAACTTGGAGTGGGTGAAGGTCGTCGACGTGTACATGCCAACCTTCACGCCGTTGAGCGAGAGGAAGTCAAAGGGCGCAATCTTGCCCTCGCACGTCACATCACCAAAGTCGTTGGTGATGATGCGGATGGACACGCCCCTGACGAGACAACGCAGGAGGAAATCAGCCATGGCAAAAGGGAGCAAGCAAGCATGAAGGGCGGGTATGGGGAGCAAGCAAGGGGTGGAAGGCTCAAGAAAGGCAGCCCACGTTCGTGCAGCATGAAACAATACAGACACAGACAAACGGACACACGGACACCAAGAGAGACAACCTCCTCTAGCCAACCACCAACACACACACACACACACACACACACACACACACACATCTCGCGCCCACCTGTGCGCGGCGTTGAGGATGGCCTGGAAGACGGGGAACTTCTCACCGCTGCAGGTGGACACCTTGCAGCCAACACAGGGCGATCCCTGCACAAGACAACAGCAAGACAACAGCAAGACAACAGCAGCAAGATGGCGGCAAGGCGATGAGCATTGCACAACAGCAACGCAGCAAACACACACACACACACAGGGAAGCATGTGACTTTGCTCAAGCACCAAGAACTAAGGCCTTGCGCCACACCCAGGAAAAATCAAACGTACGCTCGAGCAGTGGCTCCAGCTGGAGAAGCTTGGCGTGATGATGTCGAGCGTCTTGCTGGCCTTGCTGATAAAGTCCACGATGGTGTCCACCGAGTGATCTGGGCTGAAGAACGGGGTGATGGTGAGATCCGCAGACGACAGCTCCAGCGGCTTGAACTGGGCGTGGTACGTCTTGGTCTGGTGGTCATACGACGGATCAGAGGGCGGAGACGGTGGTGCAGTGCCTGCACGCGCATCATTGAAAAAAATAATACAAGAGACAAGGGTTAGATGCTGCAGTGCACGGCAACACCGTGACTTGCGGAGAACAGTCCTACAACAAGCAAGCAATCTGTGTTTTGTTTGTGTGTGTGGTTGTGTGTGGTTGTGTGTGTGGTTGTGTGTGGTCTGTTCTCTTCTGACATACCATTGCAGGCGCAGCCTGGGGGCTGATGGCACGTGTTTGAGTCCGAAATGCACGAGTCCCCACACGCCTTTGAGCCATCGCTGCAGTACTTGCAGCAGGACGGATCAGCAGCAGCCGCAGCCATCACCGTCACCGCAGCAGCAGCGGCCACGATGACAGCCAGGACCACGGCCACCTTCTTTCCTCCAACAACAAGCATCATGGCGCTGTTCCACAGAGAGAGGAGGAGGAGGGAAAACAAACAACCGGTGGATAAATGATTGGTGTCTTCACGTGTTTTTCGGCTACTACTTCACAGTGCATTTTTTTGTGCTGTGTTGTTTGTTTGCTGCTGGGGTTGGCGACAGCGACACACGAAAAAAGGGGAATCAACGCAGACGGCGTTGAAGATGGTGATGATGTGGGAGCACGCTCGCTCCTTCCTGCTCGGCGCACTGGCCGTCGTCCTGCTGCAGAAGGCAGTCTACATCCTCTCCCCACAAATCGGTGAGGCTTGGAAAGAGGAGGGGGGAGGGCGAGGGAGGGGCAAGAGGGAGGGGCAGAGAGGGAGGAGCAGAGGGAGGTAGAAAGGACCGGGGGTGGGAGGAGAGTGTGCTCTCGTCGTGTTCGGTGAGCGACGCCAGTCCATGCCACCCAGCACGCAGGTGCGTGAGCTTGATCAGGCGAATCGCTTCCACAGCCGCTCAAACTCCTCGTGGTAAGCTGTCACCTGTGTGGTTTCAAAATGAGCAAAATCGAGAGGACGTGAGAGTGAGAGAGAGTGTGTGTGAGTGAGTGAGTGAGTGA